GTGCCCCCCCGTCTCCCCCCCCGCCTGCGGTGTCCTGAAGGGACGGGAGCCCCAGTTCCCTCCACCAGCCCCCCGCCCTCTGCCTGCACCTCCCACTCCGCTCCCGCTGTCTTTTCCTTTTTTTTTTTTTCACAGTTTAAAGCTGGAGAAAACAAAAATGAAAAGAAAAAAATACTATCTCTTTTTCTTGCAAGTAAATCCACTTATTATATTTACATTTATTTATAGCCGTTGTTTTATTAAAAAAATTGCCACTTTTTTTTTAAGAAACTTTTTTTTTTCTCCTTTTTTTGTCTCTTGTGTGTGTGTCTTTATTTACTGCGTCTGTTTGCTTTTTTGCACTGTCACCATTAACTCCAGGGTCCCCAGGGCCAGGGAAGCAGGGACCCCCCATGGGGACACTGTGGAGGGGTGATCCAGCATTGGCTCCTGCGATCCCTAGGGACAGGATTCCCTCTTAATCCCTATGGACCTGTGGGGGATGAGCAGATCCTCGTGGATCCAGGGGGAACAGAGTGGATCCCCACAGATCCCAGAGGAACGGAGCAGGTCACGTTTGATCCCGCCACCCTGGGATCCTCCGTAACCCACCCAAGGACACCGAAGTCACTGCTGGCTGAACCACCATCTCCTGTCCCCGGAGGAGCCTGTGCAGCGTTAAAGGTAAGTGGGAAACAAACTTTAAAATTAAAGAATAAAACCCCCCAAAATCCAAAGAGCTGCCTCCTCCTCCTCCTCCCACTTGGTTTATTGTCATTTGTTATTTCTTGGTTCCCTTTTATTTTTTTTTTTAAGTCTGTTTTTATTAAATGTTAAAATAATGGTACATGGGAAATCATGCATTTTCTTTTAAATTTATTTCTATTTTTTAAATCTCTCTTGGTTTTAAAGTTTTTCTTTTTTTTCCTTTTTTCTTTTTCTTTTTTTTTTTAGAGATTTTTTTTCCACTGTTGTCTCTCTCCTCTGGTTTCCTTTTCGTATGTTTGTTTGGTTTTTTTGTTCGTTCACTTGTTTGTCTGCTTATCTGCTTGTTCGTTGGTTTTCCGTAGTTGTTTTTTTTGTTTGTTTGTTTTTGTTGTTTTTTTTGTGGATTTTTTTTTTTTTTTGCGTTGGGAAGGTACCCAC